GTTGTGTGTGTGTGTATATGTGTATATTTATATATATATATATATATATATATATATATATAAAAACAGAGCTGCTAGTACGAAGAGTCAAGAATACCTCAAATAAGAGAGACTGTAGTTGTGCTTCAGTTACTAGTGGCTTTTGCTTTCCTCACCTAATTTTTTTTCTAAATATTCTGATTTCTAGGTCTTGATGCAGAGCTATATTATGTGAGGAATGATCTTATTAATCACTACGCATTGTCCTTCAATCTGTTAATACCCAGTGAGACCAACAGTCTTCATTTCAGTTGGCATGCTAAATCCAAGGTAAGTATAAACAGAATTTGCATTACATACTTTAATATATGAATGTCTTGCCTAGATTTTAACAAAAGGTCAGTGTCAATAGTTGGACCACGTTTTTGCTCTTTCCTTTACACAAATTAGAATAGGCTAGTGCATAAAAGGATATACTGTTTTGAGGGTTTTTTTTTAATATATAGTCAGAGGGAACCAACTAATTGTGCTCAAGAAGAAATTAAAGACTGAGAAGAAAAGGGCACGGCTTGTTGGATGCATAACATTTCTAAAGTGTTCAGAAAATTTTTAAATAAGTGTTCTTTGGGGCATCATCTTTTTTATTTCAAAATACAGTTACAGGTTACCTGTCTATCAGGTGTGATACTGGCAGTGAATTAAACATGAAACAGGCAGCTGTGAATTAAGGCCTTTGAAAACTTGGAATCTTGTGTTCTGTGGATTCCTAGAAAAGACGTTGCTTGAGGGAAGAGCGGGATCTATTTGAGTGGTATTTAGAGATCATTTTTTATTTCATATATCCATTATAATTGGAGTGTGCAGCAACACCTGTGGTAAAGTTTGTCTATGCATTTCCATTTTAAAGGATTTTGATTTACTTATTACTTCAACTTTGTGGCTGAAGTTTTTGCAGCTGAAATTATGTGTCTAGTCTGCCTGAGGGTAAATGTTTTCGTAAAATTTGAACCACAGTCGTTTTGCTGGGTTTGAGTAAATCAATACAAACATTTGACATTATATAAATAAAATCTAAAGCAGCGGTTCTCAAACTTCTGCAACCCGAGGACCCCCATTTTGATTTGAAATTTGGGAACTCCCAATCCCCCTTGTTCAGATCCAGTTCCACCCCTCCCCCCGACCCATCTTCCTCCCTCCCTTCCTCCTCACTCCATTCCTCCTCTCTCTGTCGCTTGCTCTCCCCCACCGTGACTCACTTTCACCAGGCTGGGGCAAGGGGTTAGGGTGAAGGAGGCTCTGGGAGGGGGTGCAGGCTCTGGGAGGGAATTTGGTGCAGGAGGGGGTGCAGGCTCCAGCCAGCTGTCACTTACCTCAGGCGGTTCCTGAAAGCGACCGGCACATCTCTCTGGCAGGGGGGCCAGGGGTCTCGTGCACTGCTTCTGCCTGCAGGCACTGTCCCTGCAGCTCCCATTGGCCGCAGTTCCCTGCCAATGGGAGTTGCGAAGTCAGCTCTCAGGGTAGGGGCAGCACGCAGAGACCCCCTCCTCACCCCGTGCTCCCCCTCTCCCCCGGGGCTTCAGAGATGTGCCGGCCGCTTCTGGGAGCGACAGGGAGCCTGCCTTAGCCCTGCTTCACTTCCAGAGGGGGAGGAGTTGATCAGCGGGGACCACGGACCCCCTACCCTTGGGGACCCCCCAGGGGTCCTCAGACCCCAGTTTGAGAAATGCTGCTTATAACTCCAAGTTATAGGATTGCGTATGCACATGAATTTTTAGTAGGGTTTTTTCTGAGCTCCTGGGACATCATGTTTAATTCCCTGCAAATGCATAGCCCAGCCTACCTCCAGTGAGACCTTTGACAAAAAGTGCTTCTTAAAAGTACTAATTGTGCAGTATGTGCACAAAGTGTAATTTTCAAAGGTTCATAGATCAGACAAATCAAAACCAATTTGTATTGGATCAGACACTACTCAGTGAAGACTTCTCCCTGTTACATTTTACTTTACATCCAGGCATTTTGCCTATAGAGCTAGCTGTCTAAAGCAAAGGTTGTTTGGTTTTTTTATTAAAACAAAGCAGGGAAATAATTTTTACTTGTCTTATAATCAGTTACAACTTTTGGAATTTTTGGCATGGGCCTTGATCCTACTCCTGTGTGCAAGCATTGCAGAATCGGGGTCTTAAAATGGAGAAGAACCTTAACTGTAGTTGAACAAGTTTTTACCTTTTATAGCCTTCTTATACTTAGGGCTGGTCCACACTAACCCCCAGTTCGAGCTAAGATACGCAACTTCAGCTACGTGAATAATGTAGCTGATGTCAAAGTATCTTAGTTCGAACTACAAGGTATTTACCGCGGGTCCACACGCGGCAGGCAGGCTCCCCCGCCGACTCCGCGTACTCCTCTTGCGGAGGAGGAGTTCCGGTGTCGACGGCGAGCACTTCTGGGATCGATTTATCGCGTCTAAACAAGACATGATAAATCGATCCCAGAAGATCGATTGCTTACCGCCGAACCCGGAGGTAAGTATAGACGTACCCATAGACTTACTAGGTGAGTGGTAATGTCCTTTTTCATTTCTTAATTCCCATAGAATGAGTGTTCACTTTTGAGCAAATAAACTTAATATATTGGAGTTAGCCTTAAGCATTTTTAAAGGATTATTTAAAAAACAACTCTGGCCTAAATTTTCAAAGATGTAACTAGTGATTTAGAGTGCTTTTGGATGTCCAATTTGAAATACCTTAACAGAGCCTGATATTCAGAGTACTGAGCATTATGCCATGTGAAAATCAGGTTAGGTGATGAACTTGAGGTACTTTAAACCCCAAAAATTTGATTAGTGATTTTAATTTTGTATCTCGAATAAAAATTGCTTGAAAATGTGTTAATATTAATTGTTTTATCATTGAAGTTTCTTAACCTTTTCCCACATACTGTTACAGGTTGAATATAAACTGGGATTTCAGGTAGATAATGCAATGGCTATAGATATGCCTCAGACTAATATTTCTGTTCAAGGAGAAGTCCCTCGTGCTTTATCAGGTGAGTAAACAGGCTTTCAGCTTTGAAGGCACATGCAAAGTACTACCATGAATACTGTTTTTCTGGTACTCAGTAACATTTCCTAGTTTCCCCAAAAATGCATATAGTATAATTTTGTTTAATTTTAGTTGTATGTAACATATAAGATACAACAATTATGACCTATCTAGATAATTCTGTATATAGAAAATCTTAACACTTGTATCTCACTTGATATAGATGCACTGAGATATGTGATAAACAAATTCTGCTTTCTGAAACATGCTAAACAAAGGAAAATCAAACACGGTAACTCCTCACTTAACGTTGCAGTTATGTTCCTGAAAAATATGACTTAAAGTGAAATGATGTTAAGTGAATCCAATTTCCTCATAAGAATTAATGTAAATGGCGGGGGTTAGGTTCCAGGGCAGCTTCCCCTACTCTGCAAGCACCAGAGGCAGGGGGTTCAACCTTCAGCCCGCCCAGCCCACTCCACTCCTTCCCCCGAGCCCCCACCCTTGACCTGCCTCTTCTTCCCCTCCCCCACCTCCTCCCCTTTTACTTCACTCGCTGCATCCTGGCTTCTCCCCCCTCCCTCCCCTCCCTTCTAAACGCCGCAAGCCAGCTGATTGCTGCGTAGGGGAGGGAGGGGGGAGGCGCACTGAGTCCTCGCTCCTCCCCCCTTCCTCCTGCCGGGGCAATCAGCTGGCTTGCGGCGTTTTGGAGGCAGGGGGGGGGGGGGGGGGGGGGGGG